ACTAATATCAATGACAACAACAACACCACCACCACCACTTGAAGATCATTATAAACAGTTAATACAATATTTTCTTCATGATGGTGCTTATAATGAACATGAATTGATTGATCTTTTAAATAATTTACGTGATCGATATGATTTAAAAATAAAAGTTCAAAATGAAATTCGAACATTTACAGATACTTTCTTACCATTACTTAATAAACATATTAATCAATATGGTATGGAAATAAAACAAGTTGTTAGTGAAGAAAATGAAAATGATATTTATTTTGTATGTATACAAAATTTTAAACCACAATTTGTTAAAATGGATTGTTCATATACGGAAAAAGAAGCGGCAATTTTTGAAAAAATATTAGAATTAATCATTACAAATGATGAAAAGTTAGTTGAATGAATAATATATATCATTTTTTTTCTCTATTATATCATAGATGTATAGCGTCACGTGTTGTATTCGAAGCAATTCTTGCTAATGATTTAAAAATGACACAAAAAGAATTTGGTGAAATCATGGCACGTTTTCATCGTGATAAATGGATTGAAAGTGGTCCACATAATACAATTATACTTCATGCTCGAGCTATATTAGAAATGCAATCATTTATTACGGATACATATCGAGATGATACATATAATTGTCAAATATGTAGACGTCTTTTAATTCGAGGATTAGTTTGTTCAAATAGGTAAATTATGAGAAACAAATTTATCTCTTTTTATGTTTTTCAAATTGAAAATTTTAGTTCGTGTGATGTTCATATGCATCGTTCATGTGCTGCTCGATATTTTCTTCGTTTATCTAATTCAACAAATAAAAAAAGTGCTTATCCATGTCCAACATGTAAAAAAGAATGGAATAAGAATGATGTTGATAGTGTATTAAAAACAACCAAAACAACGAATGAAAATAGTGATCAACAACCAACTACAACAGCAGTTAATAAAAGACAACGAACATCAAGAAACAATAATAATAGTACAAATAATCGATCTGTTCGATCATCAGCTCGTCAAGTTATAAGTGAAAGTGATGATGATAATTAATTCCATATCTATACTAGTTGTTATTATATATATGTAGATTATTGTTGTTCTTGTTTACTTATAAATATTAAAAATAGAGATATCAGTTAAACTGAAAAATTGTTTATTTTTTGTTCTTACTTTATATTGTTTATTTAGAAATAAAAGCATGTCAAAAAAAGTATCATTTGTACGGGGTTTTCGCATACCAAAACAAGAAGATATTGATGCAGCACTCGGTCATGATGCTTTATTTTCGAATGAATTCAAAAATTCATTTGATTCATTACCAACTCCGACAAGTGATCAAGATTGGTTAGCAAATTATAAAGAAAAAGGCCAAACATATACAAAATTTCTTGATGAATGTCCATATCTCGATGATGATAGTTCATTACAAAAATATATTTATTTAACACTTCTCGATAATGATGATCGTTTATCATTATTAAATATTAATCATTTAATTGATTATACTCAACGATTTTTTCAAACAGAAGTTAAACTTCTTCCTTTATTTACAAATTTTATTTGGAATAAATCAAAACGAACATGGATATGTAAGTTAATCTTCTAATGATTCCATTTTTTGATAGAATAATTTGTATCAGGTACAACTAAAAGTAGAAATGGTTCAACAAAAGAAATAACCCTCCGTACTCGCTATGATCCAACAAGTGAACATTCACAAATTTGTGTAGATAATGTTCTTACTCTATTAAAACGTTCAGTTCCTCCTGATGCTCGTTGTTTAGTTGCAATAACATTACATGATTTTTATTCGAGTGAACCGGATTTATTTATCGCTGGTTTAGCTCAAGGAAATGCTCGTGTTGCTGCTTTTTCATTTTTTCGTTATGATCCTCGTTTAAAATTTGGTGATGAATTTTGGTATGATTGGAAAATGAAACAAACCCAATCAAAGACGATATCAAAAACTCTTTTACTTCGTTCATGTCGTCTTTTAACACATGAAATAGGTCATTTACTTGGTATTGATCATTGTATATATTATAATTGTTTAATGAATGGAAGTGGACATTTAAAAGAAGATTTTTCACAACCATTATTTTTATGTCCAATTGATATGAGAAAATTATCTGAATTAGCAAAATTTGATTTTATTCAACGATATGAACAATTATTAGAATTTTGTACAGAAAATCAATTTAAAGATGAGATCAATTTATTGGAAAAACGTTTAGAAATCTTGAAGAATGATAAAGAAATAATCGAAACGAAAAAGAACAAAAATTCTGATGGTGAACAAATACAAAAAGTTAAACGTTTGAAAAAAAAATAATATAATATTTTGCTACAAGAAATTTTATTTTCTTAAAATTAATATTCTTAAAAGAATAATATATATTTAATATTCTAGATACATATAATACTCAGATAATTTTTATAATATTTCTAAATTATCTCCAATCATTTAATTGATAGGATTTGTATCATCTAAATAAGTGATCCCTAATTTTCAAAGTTGTACATAAATAAATTAGCTATTCATTGTCAAGATACATGTAGATAAAAGTATCATACAAGTGCTGATTTTGATCAGTTGATGTATGTCAGTTCGTTGATTGTAAGTATATTAAAATATGACAATACATCAAAGTAATATTCACTCCTTTATTCAAAAAATAAAACTGTCGTTTTCGATTTTAAAAATGTTATGGAATATTTTTCAGATAATAAAAAATGCCATCACATATTCTTGAATATCCATTACTCAATCCATGGCAACATTTTACTATTTATGCTACACATAACGTAAGTTTTTCATATTATTACTACAGATATGTATATCTATTCTTTTCATAGCGTTATATTGTTGTGGCAATGAATAAAAGTAGATCAAAAGGTCGTATTCTAAAAATTGATCGTATGGATCAAAAAGAATTACTTATCGTTGAAGATCAAGTATATTTATATTCGATTTAAACAGTAGATTTGATTAGCATTTTATTTTTCTAGCATGAATATACACATACTGAACTTCGTCAACTTCTTGGTACTATTGAGATAAGTAATAGTCGTGCTGGTGGTTTTAGTAAAACAGTTTTTTGTCATGGAATCATCGGTACCGAAAAGAAAATAAAAGAAATGAAAAAACTTATGTTGTCTATTTTGAATTAGGTTTTATTAAATTTCTCGAAGGATATTATATGATTGTAATAACACGACGAAGTCAAGTAGCAAGAATAGGTTATCATAGAATATATAAAATCGATGAAACATCAATGTTAAGTATTACAAATGAAGATATAAAAAAGACTCATCCAGATGAAAGCAAGTAAGATTAATCTAATTTTTTTAAAATCATTTACTAAATATATTTATTCTAGATATCTTCGTGCATTACAAAATCTTGATTTAACAAATGGATTTTATTTTAGTTATACATACGACTTAACACATACATTACAATATAATTTTATGCAACAAAATAATAAAACTAATAAGGAAAATTTAACTGAGAATTTTTGTTGGGGTACACGTTATCAACCAACATGGAAATATGTTTGGAATGAATATCTTCAAGAACCATTACGATCACAAGTTCATCCAAGATGGTTACTTTTTATTGTACATGGTAAACATTTTTATTAAATGAATCTATTCGTTAATAAAATTATTTTTATTTAGGTGTTATACTTCAATATAATTTAAATGTTTTTTGTCGTTCAATTTATTTAACATTAATCTGTCGACGATCACAAAAATATTCTGGAACAAGATTTCTTAAACGTGGAGGAAATTGTAAAGTAATAAAGAAATTTAAAAATAAAAAAAACTAGAATATTTATCCATGAAAACATATAGGGTTATGTAGCAAATGAAGTTGAAACTGAACAAATTGTTCATGATGCTTCACTTTCTTCTCTTGGTAAAAGTCATTTTACTTCGTATGTACAATTACGTGGTAGTATACCAGCATTTTGGAGTCAAGATCCAAAACAAGTACCTAAACCACCGATTATGAGTAAGTGAATTAAAATAATTAGTCATACATAATGTAATTTTTCTAGTTGATATGAATGATCCAACTTATGTTGTGGCATCACAACATTTTCGACAATTACTTTATCGATATGGTTCACCTAGTAAGTTGAATAATTTTGTATTTTATTTTGAATTTTATCTTATTTTATTTTTTAGTTCTTGTACTTAATCTTGTTAAAGTAATAGAAAATATAATTTTTCATTTAATTTCATACAAAAACATTTTTTTCTTCTTTAAGAAACATGAAAAGAAAAAACAAGAATATACTTTATCAGAAGAATTTTGTGGTGCTTTGGATTATATTAAACAATTTGTACCGGATGATAATAATATTCAATATTTAGCATTTGATATGGCACGTGCTAATCGTTCGTATGTAATATCGAATTTTCCATAAGAATATATTCGATGACTATCTTTCTTTTAAGCAAACATCGACGAGTTATGCCAAAATTAGATGAAATTGCTCGACGATATTTACAACAAACTGGATTCTTTCAAAATTTTCCATTATTAGTTAATGATAAACAATATTTTTATGATCGGTAAAATTCTTACTCGATAAGAATATCTGTAACTTCTAATATAATTTTTTTAGAGAAAATGCAATTAAATTAACACCATATGAAACATTCTTTGTACAAACAGGTGTTGCACGAGTCAACTGTGTTGATTGTCTTGATAGAACAAATACAGCTATGTTTGCTATAGCAAAATGTGCACTTGGATATCAGGTAAAATATCGATCTTTTAGTTTGATTGAAGTCAAAGTTCAATGCATTCCTTATTTTTAGTTATTTTCCATGGGTCTTACTGATTCTCCGCATTTACAAGAAGATTCTTCGGTTGAATTGTAAATTATATTATCATTCTCATTTAAATTATCAATCAATATTTGATTTTTTTTAGGGTAATAAAACAATTATTTGAACATTCAGGTGATATTCTAGCTCAACAATATGCTGGTAGTCAATTAGTTCATCGTATTGATACATATAAAAAATCAACACCAGCTTGGTCGACACAATCTCGTGATATTGTACAAACACTTTCACGTTACTATTCAAATACATTTTCAGGTTAGTTTTATTTAATATATTTTAACTATTCTCTTCATTTAATATTGGTTGAATAGATGCGGAAAAACAACATGCAATGAATTTATTTTTGGGAACTTTTCGACCCAGATTAGGTCGAGCACATTTCTGGGAATTAGCAAGTGATTATCATTTACATGATCCACGATTAACAATTGGTTACATGCCACCACAGTAAATTAATCTAAGATTTCAAAGGAAAATTCTTTCATTTTGTTTTTATTTAGTTGCACTAATATTCTTGGAGATGACATATGGTTTTCATTACCATTTTCAGCTGAACAAGGTTCTAACTGATTTCTTTCAAAAATATTGTTTAACCAAAAAAAAAATGTTTCCTTTAGTTTTAAAATCTCAAAAAGATTGCTTAGAAATTGTTTCAGTTAGCAATGATGATCCACTTGTTGATGGTTTCAATGAATATTACCGTCCAAATGAATTAACAGTATTTGAAGAAAAATTTGAATGGCATATGGATTCAACTAATAAGTAAATATTATATAATGAATTATAAATATACTTCAATTGTTTTTTGTTTTCGTTTAGAGATATCGCTTATAATTATGGAAATATTCGAGAATTTACACCATTTTCTGTTCGAGAAAATAAACAACGAAAAACTATAACTAGTCTTAGGTAAACTTTCATTTTAATAATTTTAAATATAATGAATTTATTATTTAGTCTTACTGCTGATGTTCAACAACGAGCACTTCTTCCACCATCTGCATCCTTATCGACTCCATCTCAGAATTTAAATCAAGATCAAAGTTCTGATGAAGATATGTTTGATGATACAGATACAGATGAAGAGAATTCGAAAAAACAATTACAAACATCTAATAAAAAATCATTGAAACCAAAACCAATTAATAGATCAATAAATGATGATTCAAATAATAGTGCAATACAAGTTAAACGTCTATTAAATACAATATTTCCTACAACAGATGATGTGTACGGATTTCATTTGGAAGAACCATCCACGGAATCATTACATTGTTATGAACAATATGCAAGAATAGCACATGATGCATGTTTACCATCATTAACACCAATATCAAATAAACAACATCTTTATGATGCATCAATCTCATCATATCAATCAGTTTCATCAACTTCTAGTTTTGAAATGTAAATTTTTGTACTTTTGAATTTCTAAAATCTTCTCTCTTTTTCGCTTTATTGTAGTATTTCATCTAGTACAAATGAACGATCGAAATCAAAACCACAACCTCAACAACACCGTCTTCATCATCATCATTCAACAGAAAATCAATCATTACAAACATTATTAATATCTATGTTTGATGAACCTATTGTAAATGATGAAACTATTCGAATATATGAACAATGTGTAGCTGTTGCACATCAAGGACCTTTTGAACCGTCAGATGTTGATTGTTTATTTTATGAAGAATATGTAACTTCTCTGATGATTACTGCTCAGTCATAAAGGAAAAACCAATGATGAAATTGTTAATATTTTAAAAAATATATATATTTATTGATTTTTTCTTCTTTTTATAAAATTGTCAAATAAATCTTTGCTTTTATTTCAGATGTACTATGTGGTCGAGAATGTTACTCCGTCGTATGATTCAATATAATATTACCTCTCGAAAATTGAGTTCCTCATCGAAAAATAATTTCGTTAGAATATTTGAAGTTGGTCCTCGAGATGGATTACAAAATGAAAAAGTTCAGGTCCCAACATCGATTAAAGTTGATTTTGTTAATCGATTAAGTCGAACAGGACTTAAATGTATTGAAGTAACTAGTTTTGTATCACCTAAATGGGTACCACAAATGGGTGATCATGTTGAAGTACTAGCTACAATTGATCGAATACCCGGTGTTTGTTATTCGGCATTAACACCAAATGTTCAAGGTATTAATAAAGTTTTATCATTAGGAAAAAAAGGTGTTGATGAAGTAGCAATATTTTCTGCAGCATCTGAAACATTTTCAAAGAAAAATATTAATTGTTCAATAGAAACATCAATACAACGTTTTGATGAAGTTGTTAAAATTGCACATGAAAAGAATTTACCAGTACGTGGATATGTATCATGCGTAGTTGGTTGTCCTTATGAAGGAAAAATTTCACCAGCACAAGTTGTACCTATTGTACAAAAATTACTTGATATGGGTTGTGTAAGTTTGATTTTGTTGTTGTTGTTTTAATGAATTTTTTTTTCTATTTGAATAGTATGAAATTTCACTTGGTGATACAATTGGTGTTGGCACACCGAAATCTATTCAAGAATTACTTGAAGCACTCATTAGAAGTGGTATTCCATCTGACAAATTAGCCATTCATTGTCATGATACATATGGACAAGCAATTGCTAATATTGCACAAGCATTAGAATTGGGTATACGTTGTGTTGATTCGAGTGTTGCTGGTCTTGGTGGATGTCCATATGCAAAAGGTGCAACAGGAAATGTAGCAACAGAAGATGTTGTATACCTTTTACATGGACTTGGTTATGAAACAGGTGTTGATCTTGATCGATTAGTTGATGTTGGTCAATTTATTACAGATGCTTTAAAACGACAGAATGGATCAAGAGTTGCAAATGCACTTTTATGTCAACGACAAGATCAAACTACAACGAAGAACAAACAACAGTAGTATTCTCTATATTATCACTGTCTAACAGTTCTTTTTCATATATGATCCTATATAAATATGTATGTGTATTTTTTTCCAAAAAAAAAATCTGATTAAATAACATAAAATATATTTTATTGATTCCAACATTCTCTCACTATCAAGGAAAAAAGATTAACCAATTTTTAAATGATTGTTTCGAATAATAGAAGAGCATTTGTACTTAAAAAAATATACATAAATATTATGGAATGAATGATTTATCAATTTAGATGAAATAACAATATTGCATATCATGTCTATTACTTCTCAAAGTACAACTTTTGTGTATTGTATAATAAAATTAATTTAATTTACATCATTCAATATCTCTTTATTTCACATACATATGATACTCAGAATGAATTCAATTGTTGATTTACATAGTATGTTTTTTTGTCGTATATAATACATCAATTGATTTTGGCTTTGATAAATATTATTATTATTATTAGTGTAGTGTATACATGTATATTTTTCTTTCTTCTATCATAACACCGTTCTGTTGCTTGACAAACCACACAGACAGAATATTTTCTTTTACTCTCTCAAAGAGAACTCAACAATTTTCTTTTTCTATTTGAATATGCTTGTGGTTTTCTTTTTTGTGTTGTTCTTTGTTAAAAATAGTCAAGGTTGCTAATAAATTTAAAATTTAGTAATAATATACAATTCTTAGTTTTAGATAAATAGAATTTTTAAGAAATGGATTCTCTATCACAATGTCAAATAGTTTTATCGAAAATTAGTGAATTTTATCGAATAAATATAAATGATCCAGATGAAAAAATAAAAGCTGCAATTCAAAATCTACTTGATTTATGGCCTGAAGTACTTGTTTCAGCTAATACAGCAACAGATGATGAATTATTTGCTTTAAATGTTAGTCGAGCTGTATTAACCCAAGTATTTGCAATTGTTTTATCAAAAGATTTTTTTAATAAAGATCAATTATTAGTTCGTCAAATATTTTTTTCACTCTTTAATATTCTCGTTGACAATACGAGTATATTTCAAGATAATAATTCAATATTTATTGATTCTAATATACGTCTTGTAATAAAAATGGCAATGAGTATAACATCGTTTGTACAATTTAACGATGGTGATCTTACGAAACCTAGTGATCATCAATTATTAATTGCAATACGTGAACATATAGATCAAGATTTTAAGCATGATAATTTAACTGATGTTGTTATATCATTTATTTGGAATCTATCAGATAGAACAATGTTAGTACCAAGACTTTTGAAAGCTGGTTATGCAAAGAGTGTTGTTGATTGGATTTTAACTCGTGAAATGAAATTTACAATTGATAAAATAGATGCACCTATACACATTTTACATAATTTAGCACGACATGATGATGGTATTGATCAACTTAATAGTTATGATGCACTTGATGTAATTGAAGAAATAAAAACTCAACCAGATATATTTGATGATGTTGATGATATGACAACGCATATTGCTATGATTCGTACATTACTTTCTAATACTAAACAGATAAAACATCATTCAACATATTATTCAAATAAAACTGTAAATATGTTATTACAATTATCTATAAATGCAGCTAAAAATGAAAATTATCGTTACAAAGGCTCTCATGTATCTGAACCATTAACTGTACTTGTTAAATTGTTTTATAATAATGAAATATTAGATAATATACTTTGTAAAAATGAAATCAAACCATCCTTAACAACATCATCGATTATTGAACTTTTTACAACATTACTTTGTCAACTTTATTCTAAGATAAATCTTGATAATGATTTATTAGAAAATTATACTTGTGTTGTTATATTAAATCTATTTTGGCTTATTTCAAATTATGAAAAATATAGCTATTTAATTGGTGAATGTAAAAAATTAATGGATATTGTAAAGATTGCTGCCAATGATAAACAAAGTTTTATTGATACATTTATGCCACGAACAATGAAAAGTATTCATCAAACAGCTAATGATATTCTAAGAAAATTTAATAATAATAATTAACATATGTGATTTGTATATGACAATAACGAGTTGTTTTTTTATATTTTAATATTTTTTATTTTAATTTGGATAAAAATAACTGATATCATCTTGAGGGTGTATATGTGAGATGAAGAGGAGTATTGCGTTCACACCCACACCCTATCCCTATCATCACATAACAACTACACTAAGCACATATTATCACAAGAATACAGATTAGGTTTAAATGTCACCATTTTTATTTATTTCCTCTGCGATCATCACAGAACAAGAAAAGTATTCGTATGAATTTTCACTACCTATTCATCTGTCGTAAACATATATTTAATAACAGTAATTGCAGTCTTCTTCCTCTCTCATTCCATTCACTGAATTCATCAATCCGACGTATGTTGTCCTCTTCGATTTCACTTCCACCGAGAATCAACGTGGTGATTATCTAGATGAAAATGGGAAGGTAAAGATATAGTATAGATCAAGAGAATGAATAATTACCTTGTTGTATTATGATCTATTAGCCAAATCTTGAGGATGAGCATGGGCGTGTGTGTCGTTGTACACTATTCTAATCACACCCGCATCCTCTTTTCATTTTAAATTTTTATTTGATAACATATATTGGATTTTTGAGTTGAATAAACAGAACTTCAGATAATCAAAAGAAAGAGTAAGTTTCGATAATATTCAATTTAATTTTAGATTCTACAAAGTTTTCTTTCCAGAAAAATAAATTTCTAAATATTTATGTTAATTTGATAGAATAAATTAACTCTTCTTTGGTAGTTTAATTATTCATTGTAATAAAAATTTTAACTTTAGCAGTTGAATTCTGACCGAATAGTAGAAAATGTCGTTGTTTTTAAGAAAGTATTCAACATTTCACAATGATTTACATACAATGCCAGTGTCAGTATAATGTTTTCTTCTTTGTTCTCTTGTATATAGCAATATAGAATATTCTTCGTATGTTATTTGTCAATCACTTCTAACTCATTGTTTTATTTTTCTTCTCTAGTGTTTCCTATTTCTAAAATATATAAAAGAAATAATTAATATCTTAGTTTGACCATAACTATTTGTCATGATGGACAATTTCAAAGGATAATAAAATTATGACTTCAGTTGATTTTGTTGAATGTGAATGTGACATTATTCTGTACAATTCTAATTCTTTTGTTTATGTATTCATTTCTCATAGATTTGATAGATTTTGATGATATTCATATTGTTGAATAGTATTTGACGAAGGTTCATACTGAAGATGAACAACTACACTTTTCTTATCATTTATCTAATCTATGACACAAAACAATAAAGTCAATTGTACAATTCATTTCTGATAACAGACAATGTTGATATATATTCTCTGTCAACTCAATACAAAATAACAAAAACATTTTTTTCTCAAAAAAAAAAATTTATTTTATTCTTCAGGAAGCGTTGTATTTCCTCCATGAAGGCATGATTCTCAATGTATTCTTAACAAAAATAACATTATATTTTGTCTGAAACACTTTGTTTTCACATCCTTCCTACAAAACTCCAATATCATGAACATTTTTTATATTTACAACAAATGATGCCTGACATTTCATATTAGTTTTGAAAAAGGAAACAGATCCATTGTTTTTATTTCATTCAATAGAAGACAAATATCAATAACAATTAATGATTTATAAATAATAATAAATGAAAAAAATGCAGAAGAATATATTTTGTTATTATATTGATATGAACAGAAAAATGAATAAATTTTGGAAATTATCTGCAACATTTTCCCTCAGATAATCAGTAATAAAATAGAAATATTTCTGTATAGTAAAATAAACGAGAAGATGTTTTTAATAGAATCAACAACTATGTTTGACATTATATAGATTATTAACTATCAAGAAATAGATTCTCAAATGGTATCTTTCACTTTATTTTTATGTGTTTGTTTGATTTAAAATAAAGATAATAATGAATGAATGATTCTGATATCCACTGTATATAATCACTTTTATATAAAATATTTGTAAAAAAACATCCTATGTCAATGAAAACAACAAGATCATTTTCTTGTTCCAGATGAGTTTTGAATAAAATATTGTCTACTATAAATGTTGAAATATACGAGATAGCATGTGAAACTAAACTAGGTAGTTAAAATAATATTTAATATGAATATATTTCTACAAAAAAAAACATTAAAAATCAGCATTTTTTGAAGGAAATGTCAAGTTTCCTGGAAGTAAAGAATGTATTTGAACAAAATATTTTATTTTTTTTCCATTCATTTGAATGACTATAGAATTAAGCTGTAACTACGTTGTTAGATATCCAATTATTGTCAAAAAGATATTGAGGCGATAAAATACAAGGTAGCGCTCATCCAATGGATTCGCTGACCCTTTTCTGAAAGAAAATTTTCTATGATTATTATTAACAAGTAATGCTCGTTCAGAGACTCGCTGAGCTCTTTCTTGAAGAAAACGTATTCTACAATACTATTGAACTTTTTACTTGTACAGTTTGGAAAAACTAGCATCAGATTCGAGTTCCTCAACCTCAATTGCTCTTCGGTCAACCCTTAAAAAAAAACTTTTTTGCAAAAAATGTGGTCCTTTTTGTAAAAAACTGAAAGATGAAAAAATTCCAACAAAACTGACCCCAGATTCGGATTCCCCGACCCCGATTACCTTTGATCAAACTTGACGGAGAAAAATTTTTTTCGTAAAAAAGTGCTCCTTTGTCTAAAAAACTGAAGAATAAAAAATTTGAAAAAACTGACCTCGTATTCGGATTCCCCGAGCCTGATTACCCTTGGTAAATCATTTTCTGATCATCATCGATAAGTTTTCATTGACTTATAAAATGCTGCAATCTGATTGGCTTGGACAAACGGGACAAACGGACAAACTTTAAGCATTTTTATGGAGCATATAACCCTTTCTTTCAGAAAAGGGAACTTTAGCAATAGATTCATATGAGTAGAAATACGAATGAGGATGAATTTGCATCGAAGATAAAACTAGTGCATTCATCTGTCATATGTTTATTCAAAAAGAAAACAATAGATTTCAAAATTTCATAGTATTATACAAGACTTGATCATTGATGTAATTGCTATTTCTTTTGTGTTCACCTTCTCTACATATATATATATATTTAATCATATATTTAAGAAACAAATCTGAAAATTTGTTTCACTAATGAAGAAAACGATTAAACGAAAATAAAAAGGTTTTTTAAGATGTGGAACTTACTGAGGAAAAAATATAATATCTATAATCACTAAACGCTTACATCCGACTGTAATTGTTAGAAAATCTGTACGTATCATATGGAGTATGATTGTACTGACAATCGTGGTTACGATTATCTCTATTCATGAATCATACTCAATAGATTAAAACTGAGTGCAGATCAAGTTTTAATTGTTTTTTTCTGAATGTTCCATTTCGACATCCAATTGAACTAATGTAAAGACAGTCAATTTCACTTTCATTGCTATTTATCTATTCTGTGATATAATAAAATCCAAGATATTTCTAATCATACATAATATTTAGTTTTCAATTCATGTAGAAGTATCTTGTATAACAGAATATTTTAACGTTAGTTTTTCCTCTGTCAGGAAATGTTGCATACCTTTTGACCAGCACTGATTTTTAGTGTTTTATTAACTAATAATTACACTAAATGTTGTCTCAAACAGTTGCATATTTATAAGAGTTAACAACTCTATCTGATAAGAGTATTTTCAAAATTAACAGTGAAAAAGGAAATGCGCACATTGTTTTTTATTGATATATGGTGTTTTGTTGCAAATGTTTTATATTAACACAATGATATACGTCAGAAAAGAATTGATCACCCAAGAAAGATAGAGAGAGAGAGAGCATGATATATATTTTTTCTATGATTTTAACAGTTTTTCTAGTTCAAATCGGGCTGAAAAACTTTTGAGTGAGAAAACAATATCTAAGTTTGTTTCTGCATTCTTGTTTTTTTATATCAACAGACCAGTCGGTAAGGAATGTTAGATATTACTCAAAATATAGATTTCAATTAATAGTTAAGAGTCTTTGTAATTGCATTATTAATGTTCGAAAATATATAAAAGACAAATTTTTTTAAATATATTTAAGATTATAAGAGCATTGAGCTTTTGACAAGATATCAACAATGAACAGCAACAACAGAGTCGATGTTTATGATGTAATTTATCGAGAAAACAAAAACCATAAAATGTAATCTTTGTCTTTTTTTGATTATTTTAGCCCGCAACAGTTAACTCGAATGCAACGCAACCAATAACATTGTATGTATATTATAAATTATAGAAAATGATAAAAGAGGTCAATTATTCTAGATGTGAATGTTTTCGAAAAAGGAAATTCACATGGATCGTATTGATTATTATTATTATTCTTGCTTTGATTACAACGATTTCAGTTGTTGTGCTCAAAACAAAAGAGATCAACAGCGAAAAAACATCAACAACGGAAGAAAGAACAACTGAAACAACAGAACAAATGGAAACAACAACAGGTAGTCAAAATGCAATAATTATTTATTTTGAGATTAATATAAGATGAACTATTTCAACTGACAGAAGTAGAACTGCATTGTTTATTATAAGAGCTTATGCATCATATTTCTAAGCAACAATATCTTAAGTTTTTTCAAATACGCAATGAAATTTTCAGCACATAGAAAACTATTTCTGAAGAGCTGATCGTTGAACTAAAAAGAAAACAAATAATGCGATTATTGATCAACTTTCGAAAAACATTGTTCGTTTTGTCTCAGTAGGAATGTGTGTTGTTCGTCACTAGTGAAATTACATATGCATTTGTTTCATTGGATTGAATGTAACATGAATACTTATTTGTATTCATTGAAAACAATACAAAGTTTAAGTTCACCAGGATTGGGATCGATGCGTACCTTTCAAAAAAGAATGAGTAAATAACTATTTGACGTTGCCAACAGAGATGAGAAATCTCTTATTGAATAGAATTAAATGTGATTAATATCGAGTGAATCCATAATTTAACTATCGAAATAAGCGAAAACTATTTGATTTTTTTCATGTAATTGCCATATTCACTCTTAGCAAAATCAAAATTTTCTTTCAGCACATCTGCATTTTATGGATTTTGATCAGCAAAAAAACAAAATAAATGCAAATCTTTTCTGTTATTATTTTATAGAACAACTACCACTTCCTTTTGTCATCGATTCCAACACTACATGGAAACAAGATGCGTCGACTGTCGCTGGCGGACATGGCCTAGGAAATGGAACAAATCAACTCAATCATCCCTACAGTGTCTATGTCGATGATGATAATAAAAATATATATATTAGTGACCAGAACAACCACCGTATTGTCAGATGGGGATTCAACAAGATCAATGGTGAAGTTGTTGCTGGTGGAAATGGAGAAGGAAATCGGATAAATCAGTTAAAAAAACCGTCAGATGCCATTTTGGATAAAAAGAGTAATTCTCTTCTTATTTGTGATTTTGGAAACCGTCGAGTAGTAAAATGGTCTCGTCAAGATGACACAACATCACAACTAATAATAATTCCTTTTATTGGTTGTTGGGGTTTGGCAATGGATAATAATGGTGACCTTTATGTTTCTGACTTGTTGAATGATGAAGTCAGTCGCTGGAAAGAAGGAGAAGCGAAGGGAATGAAGGTAGCAGGCAAAAGTCGAAATGTAGATCCGACTAATCAGATATACATTTTTGCTTATATTTTCGTCGACGAATATTATTCAGTTTATGTAGCGGATAGGAAGTTTGGTGAAGCGATGGAATGGAAGAAAGATGCAAAAAATGGAACTATTGTTGCTCATGGGCATATGAGCGAGATGTTGCCCGACATTCCACCTCGTCTTGCAGGAATAATTGTTGATCGTATGGGTAACATTTACGTATCTGATGTACTGACATGTCAAATAACACGCTGGTTACCAGGCACAAGATTCGATGGTACTGTTGCTGGCGGAATGGGATGTGGTAACGGAACCCGACAGATTAAGTTTCCTGCTGATTTATCGTTTGACCGACAAGGTAATCTTTATGTTGTTGATCAGCTCAATAATCGTGTACAAAAATACGCTGTGGAACTGGATTGAAACTGATTTTGACGACACAAAGAATATTCATCGACAATAGTTTTTTGTTAAAGTTTCTTTTGTCATTGAGAACGAATGAATGAATTATAAAACTATATAAAATAAATAAATAATCTTATGCATTATTCAGCTTAATCAGTCAACCTTTTCAGATGATTTTCTTTGTTATCAGTCATTGTTTTACTAATAGATACAACATAGTGCATCAGTAAGTGCTTGAAAACGATTTGCATTCTGATTGAAAGTTGTTACAACTGCCGAGTTTTGACGATGTTTATTAAAGTTACACAAAATACTTGGAAGTTTCGATCAAAATTTCTTACAGAGATCGTACTTTGGAAAATAAATGCATGTTGTAAAGTTAACATTAAAACAGTAGATTAACAATCCTTACAAATTGTAGACTGTTCACTATATTAAAACACAATATTAGAATGAAATATTCTTTTTCGAGCTCCTTGAGTGTTATTTCTATGAAGGCAATTTGATATTTATGAAATACAGTTCATTTCTACACGCTATTAATATTATTCTTGTTTGGTGCAGCCCCATATTTATTCTTTCAATATATCTGGTATGACAAATCAACATTTGCAGAGAAAGAAGATGTTTGAAAAAGAAAAAAGCGTCATTAAATAAAAACAAATGGTTCTCTGGTGTTTTTGTTACAAAAATAACATTAACATATCAACAGAATTAAAGTATTCCCATTAACTATTTTTAAATTATTTCTTTGTAAGAGGCTGAATAGCCTTCGTCTCTACATAGTATATGAATATATTTTGAAATGTTTTTCGATGTTAAAAAATAGAAAATAAGTTATAGTAAACAAAGAAGATGGTCTTTCTACATTGTCAAACTGGTAAAAACTTACTGATATCTCACTCCGTCTCTTTTTTCATCCTTTTCTCTTTTCTCCTTAAAAGCCCTTTTTTCGGTCTCTTTTTTAACAAAATCCTCTTTTTCTGTAAACTATTGGTAGGATACCAAGTAACTTATCTTTTTCTATTTCCAAAAGAAAAAAATTGAGTATTTTGATTCATGAAGAATATGGTAAAAGACTATTTTATGTGCCTCACTCACTTCAATATTTAATATATAAAAGTTTCTAACAGTGTTGATCGCTACATGCAGTACATATTGTTTTTAATTAGAGAGAGAGAGAAATGAGTTAAAAGGTAAAAAACCGGTCTCCATAGCGTTTTATAATGCCAAAGAAGTATTGTCGGAGCATCAGCTTATTATTTTTCTTTTTTTATAGTGCTCTGTGAAGAAGATTACCATATTATATGTTTTCAACTAAACTAGCATTACTTTGACGTAGCAAGCTCATGTAACGAAGAAAAAAAAGTAAAGTGTGCATTATCTGGTTTATATAGTTGGAAATAAACAGCAGTTGGTTGTTTAAAACGTCATGCATATTCTGCCTAATATCTATCTGAATAATCAATCGCTTGGTGAGTACTGCCACACACATCACGTGTATATGATATTCGCCATTGAATGATAGTTGAAAGCACTTGGTTATTGAGATATTTACAAAGAAAGTGAAAGTTTCATTAATACAGGAAAAAATGTGTTTTTGGAGTTTCTCGGAAAGCCAATGGAATCCTTAGAGATCAGCTGCAACCGATATAAGAGATGCTAGAGATATAAAAGAGAAGACTAGTATAGGAGACATAAGAAGTGTTTGCATATATGATCTATTCTTTTTAATAATTCTTAATTTTATAAACAAGAACAAGATGAATAAAATATTAGTTGAGATGAAACTAAAACTATTTAATGAGTATTTAACTCATCTATAATTTACAATTAAAGCCGTGAAATAAAGCATTATTGAAATAAAATGGAAAGGGTTTCTTGATGATTACTGAAATAATGCCAATAATTCTTGAGCAAGGACAAGAAATAATGGGTCTTTTATATCTACGATATCTCCTGCAGCTCTTATTTCACGTGTGGGGGGGGGGGGGGGGGGGGGAAGAAGAGCTCATGTCTTCTGTACCAACATTCTCTTCTATATCTCCAACATCGCTTATATCAGAAAATCTGTTTAGACAATAGTTTGAAAAGCCATGATTTTTCATTCAAGCATTACAGGCAAAAACAACTTCAAATGAGAAAAAGATTCATTTTTCTTCAAACAGTATTAAGATGTTTTTTAAGATGAAAAGTTAGAAGCAAAGAAGAAAAACCATTGAATATTATTTTCTCTAATATTGGTTACTTAGTGACACTTTCCTTGTGTGCAATACTTGAAAAAACAACCTTGTTCGATATAAATAACGGACACAGAACTCAAACATATTTTATTTATATAAGAATGGGAAATGGTTGTTATGCCACAACCACTCTTCCTATAGTACTAGATTTTCAATTATCAGAAATCGCAGATCTTTATAAAGCATACGAAACAAATAATGTTGAACAAGCGAGAAAACTCCATCTCGAGGGTGTGGGTATATCTTATTCATACCCTCACCCATATACACACCCTTGTTATGTTCTTCTTGACGATTAAAGCATTTAACTGAATATTATGTTTCCTGTCATATTTGTTATATCTGTTGCATGTCATTCAGAAGTAGCGTATTAACCATTGAAATTCTACTAGTTATCACTCGATTCTCTCTGAAAAGAAATTCAATAGATAGTTCATCATTAATATGAATATAATAATTCTCTAGAATGATAAATAATATTAAAACAATCAAAAGCAATGTACAACATTGACAACTAGAAAACAATAAAGCATTTCATATTACAAAGTTTTCAATCATTAATATTTATAGGTTCAATTCGATTTCGAACATTAGTACACAATTGACGTACTTTCCAATACAAACATAAACCATACCAAACAACATATTTCAGTCCAACAGTTAATCCACCAAATAATCCCAAATATGTTATTATCATATATAATACACTATTTCTTTTCTCATAGCTATAGTGACATGTTAATGGTGTACAACTAGAAAAATAACTGGAATAATTACTTGTATTATACCATGTTTCAATAAATAGTTCATCAATCAATGTTCCAATTGTTGTTGATGATATTGGTGTAAAACGAGAATATAAGGAAATATTAAGAGGTGGTAGAACATATGAACTATTAAGAAAAGTAGCTAATCTCTCCAAGCATGTTGAGTTGTAAAAACATTCAAGTGTCGAAAGGCGAAGACCGTAAGCAGGTAAACAACCAATAACAAGACCTATTCAAGGAAAGAAAATTTCTAGTGCATATCATTCACTAGAACAGCATTATACTATAACTTCATACATTCGGGATTCTTTTTATACAACAGAAACTAACCATCATGATATACATGTCAGATTTACTTTCTAACCAAGTATGTATAGTGGATATCTATATATATATGAAGTTGAGTGCATATATTACGAACTACCATAGATGAGTGTATAGGTTACAACGTCCATTTATGTACTCTCTTTCGACCCATTTTCTGATGCTCCAAACTAAATATATAAGGTTGTCACTGAGAAATATCAGCTCTATTACTATTAGTTCATAAAAACTTCGGTTTTAAATGAAATAAAGAGACTAGTCAAAATCGATAATGAACGGCGTACTATTGTGTGATATTATACGATCTTTAGGTATTTATATTTATTAGCTATATGTTCATAATTTGTTATTGCATTTATTCATTGATTTTAAATGACATTTTACCTGGGAACTTTTCTGTTTTATTCAAACTCGTCAGTAAGGATCTCGTGCATGTTGACATAATATCACAAGTACAAGACTGACCACTTTCATTGTATAATGCTGGACTTGTTAACATATAATATCCATCTTTGAGACTTGGCGAACGAAGATTCCAATTTGTTAAGAACATACTCGGCAGTTGATTGGCACGAAACATCTCTATGATATATTTATGTATTCTTCGAAACCTAGCTGGTGTTTCAACAATAAAACTGTTCATAATCGAATTGATTTGAGTTTGAAATGAATGACGTGTTAATGTTTCCACGCTTATCAGTTCTCGAGAAGAAAACATTTTAATGTGTTGGCGAGTAGTATTTATTGCAAGAGAACACAATGTTGATAACAGCCGAAATTCTGTACTTAAGATTTTTCTATCAAGATCGAAGAGAAATGCATTTGCTTCATCTGAACCCCAAAGCAAACTGATAAAATCTGGTGTAATAAAATAACTTGAACACACTTGATGATAATTTTTTGGTTCAACTGTAGCAAAAGTTGAATACTGTATTGTAATTTGTGAACATGGACATGAAAGGGATGATGGGTATTGATCTTGAAGAGACTCAAAGGTAGATAGTGTCGGTGTTGATATCGTAATAAGATGTATTTGTAAATTAAGAGCACTAAATATTATAATCACAAGTAGTGCTATGAGTACGAAGATAACGTAGAATCGAGTAGCTATTTGTTGACGTTGTTCAACTAATATTTGATCTGCTGTTTGTAGTTGTTCTGAAGGAGAGGTTCTTGATATTATTTTATAGAAGTTCATTTTTCGAAGAGAATGTTGAATCTGAGCAACCAATAACGACAGCTTCCGACCAAAACCTGAGAATAAACAAAAAAAACTAGTTATTGATGAATTAACATACAAATCATCTGAGTAGATAATCTCAAAGATATCATTCAGTGTTAAATATTCGTCATTAAACATGCACAACAAATCAAATACTGTCTGATTTATTATTAATATTCTACATATTGAATATGATGTTGATTCTTACTTGTTTCTACAGTGACTTCAGTTGGAACTTGAACCAAACGTCGTCTGCGACAAACATGATATATTGGTTGAAGTAGTGTTACAAGAAGAGGAATGAATATTTTAAGTGCAACAGAAAGACCACCAATTATCCCACATACAGTTGCAACAATATAAACTCGATTGAAACGTTGTTCATAAGTATAAGTACATTCATCTGGTGCACATTGATGATAATATGAACTAAAATTAGTTGTGTTTGTCCAATCTTCAATAAATAACCGGGAAACAATGTTATCCAATGTAGTATTAGGTGAAGAACGACGATCAAATCGAGGATTGAGCGGTGTAATATTAGCAGCACGTGGATCTATCTTTGAAGCGTTAGTTTCAAACGAACGCCCTCTAATTATCATTTGCAGACATGATGTATTGTAGAGGCATTGAAGTGAAGATGCAAGAAGTGAATCGACAGGTAGACAACTTAGCACCATGCTAGGAATCGTGTGATTTGGTTTAGCTGAGTTACCCTTACAATTTCTTTTTGTGCAATAAAATCCTTGAGGACGTGTACAAGAGGTACTTTTGCCACATGAGCAGTCGTTATCATAGCTTTGTGTTGATTTAAAGTAATGCATTGTATTATTATTATCGTTTGAATGATATATTTCAGCATTCGTGCTGCCCACAACAATAAATTGGTTTAGTTGAATCAAAGCACGAACAAGTTCAAATAGGCCAAGAAAAGAATCGACAGTCTTAAATAATCAAAATACATTAAGAGACGACACAAATAAACATCAAAATTGAGCTTTTATGAAAACCCATCTCATATCATGCTTGAGAAAGAAAGCTAGTACTCATTTGTATAAGATTGAAATCATTGACTACACATATCTTTGTTGATTTCGAAGTGTAATATGAATGTTAGTTTATAGACTATTTGTCTTCTTCTTGTATTATTACTATGCAGATAGAATCACAAATAACAATAGAAAATGAAAGAAAGAATGAATGGTTGTTACATAGGAACTCTACAGAATAGATTAACTGTGATATTGTTTTCATTTCTACTTTCTTTAGGCTTCTCAAAAAAGATCTAAAGGTGTACATGGAACTATTTGATTCTGTCATGCATTTATATCTGGCATCATTTTTAACTTTCATTTAGTTTTGTTTTCACTCTTAGTTTTTCGACAAAAAATCGAAGAGAATATACAAAATCTTCGTTAGTATTTAGAACTGAAACTCAAATTACAATCTCTCATCTAAGAAGTAATCACACTCATATAGATATCTGATTGAGTAAATGTACTAGATTCTGAATCACTTGTTTAAAAAAAGGCTAGATTAACTTGCCATACTCAACAAAATAAATACTATCCTCTGTATGTCCTATACCTGTTGTTGAAATTGACGAATGAGTGCAGATGTTTGTATTTCGAATAGATCAAATGCCACTACCTGACTACTAATAAATTCCATATGATTAAAAACAAATAGTTCATTTATCACTGTCTCATTTGACATTCGACATAATGTTTGAAGTAAAGAAAACAATTCCATACCTATACCACGGAAATCAAAAGTGTGAAAAGAAGGAAAAGTTCCTGTAAAGTAGAGCAACCAGGCATCATCTTTAATGAAATCACTTGAACACACTTGATGATAATGAGGCACTATATCTATGATTGATGAGTATGGGATAGAGAGACGAGTACATGGACACACAAGTGTTCGTGAATATCGTCTATACAATTGTTCATATTTATTTAATGATGGTTGATATACAGTGATACTTCGTATTTGAACAGAGATTGATGCATAAAATACTAAAATAATTATTCCAACAACAAATGTTAGCAAATAGACACGTGTAGAATAAATACCATCAGTAATCTCAGATAAGTATGGAAACATATTTAATGTAAGTAGTTTCATCTTTATTAGTTTCACAAGAGACATTAAACGATCTTTTAAACCTATAAAACAAATCTTTCAACTAAAGAAGATAATCATAAAAAGAAAAAATTCACTTTGATTGGAATTTGTTTCAAGTTCAATTTCATTTGATAGATTCTCAGTTGTGTTAGACTGATGTTTACACTTTTGACATCGTCGTATGATATTAACAATAAATGGAGCAATAAGAAACATAGCCATCTGTGCACCACTAAAAAGACCAATTATGGTCATAATTATATAAAGAAGATTAAATCGTCGATCATATGTATAAGTGCATGAAAGCGGAGAACAACTGTTAAAATAATTATCAAAATTTCGTTTTTCATTCCATGATTCAATAAATAATTCATTCAAAAGATATTCAACTGTTGTATTTGGTTGAAAAAGAGATGATGAAAGTGGTGAAACTGATGAGAAACCATGGATAAATATTTGCAGTTGCTGTATACATGATTGGCTATAGAAACATTTAAGTGATGATTGAAGTATTGTACTGTATGGTGAACAACCAACCATCATACCGGGAACAGTGAATAGTCGGCTTGCAGTAGCAATATACACAGGTTCATCTGCAGTTGAAAAATTGTGTCTTGAGTATCCATTAAAATAGTAAAATTCAGCTTGTATCATACAAGTAGCGTTTCTTATACAAGAGCAATTAGCACTCAAACTGTTGTATTCATTTGGAAAGTGACTGTATATATCAGAATCAGGATTATATTGAATAAGATAGTTCGTACGTAATGCTGAATAAATGCCATTTTGAAAAATAATTAATTCAAGATGGTCACTTGTATGTTTCATATCAGCTATTATTGTTGATTTTAGCTGTTTTACGAGTTGATTTATCTGAGCATCAAATTTTTCAATGGACAAAACTTGAGTGGTCATAATGCGTTTAGAATTAAAAACAAATAATGAATCATCCATCATTTGTTTTATTGTTTCACAAAGTAGTGCAAGTAGCTGGAAATGAGATGACACTATAATGCGATAATCTAACCTATAATAGTCACCGATGTTTATCTTAGATAAAGCTGAAATAAATGAATGATTAAGAAATTGACTTGTACATATTGGATGATATTGTGGATCAAACGAAAGAAATTTATGATGATGAATCGATGTTTCTGTACATCGACATGAAAGTGTACTTGGATATCGAATAGATAGGTTTTTGAAAATAGTTTCAGATGGTGAATGGACAGTGACAGAATGTGTCTGGATAGTGGAACCAGCGTAAGTAATAATAATAATGAGAGCAGTAGTCATTAGAAAGATAACAATTCTTGTTCCAAGTAACTGATCGATGGTAGATATGGTTTCTTCATCGTCGAAAAGATTAATTTTTCTTATATGATCACGTATTTGCTTGAACCTACTGATTCGATCATGAGAGATGGTTTCTGCCATTTACAAATTGAACAACTAGTCGCTCAGCTTCTCTTTATATGAGATTCAAAATATCATGAAGATATATGATAAATATTATACAAGGAAATGAAAAAAAATCCTGACAATGAATCGCACCAGTTTGTTTCTATCAAAAGCCATCTGTCCATTGTATAGATATTAGAATGAATTAGTTAAAAAAATATATGACACAAATATGTGTTTTTTTCTCAGGTTAGAATTTGCTCAAAGCAAATTTTTTCTCATTTTCCTGTTGAATAATATTTTGTGTATGACAAAATGAGAAGTATGTGACGATGTTTCAGTTGATCGATCAACATCTCTACTATTAATAAAAGAAGATGTAATGTCAGACAATAGATTTTTTAGCTTTAATTGTTAACAAAATAACAATATGCTTTCGACTAAAGAAAGGATCATACGAAAACAAATTGAAATAATTTTGTGTGTTTGCCAAGATCAAGGTCAAAGAATTATTCACAATCAAAAACTCAAGTTTCATCAATGAGGCAAATCAGATTTTAGTGAATATTTTTATCAGTGTTATTCGGAGAGTGCACTTAGTTACTTGGATTGATGATAGGATTTTTAAGGGTGTTCTTTCGTCTGCTTGTGTAACTGTGTTTTCTATGAAAAATAGCAGAAAAATCGCTTGTTGCACGCTAATCGGTCAGCTTCTGGATCATTCGGTTTTCAATATTTTGGAAAATCACCGAGTCAAATTAAGACACTTTAAAATCTGGAGAAGAGAGACAAATAAGATAAATGAGAGGAAAAAAATAGAAAAAGAACCGATAAAAGAAAAATAAATGGTAGAACAGAAAAAGAAGATAAGAGTAAAAAGAAATGGATCCAAACAAAAGAGAAACCGTATGGATAGGCACAAATAAAAGTGAAACAAAGGAAAGCAAGAGAGAAAATGAGAAACAAAGGTGCTTTTTTTTATATATGTGTGTGTGTGTGTGTTTGCTTAGCAGCAGTTTGAAGTTGAACATAATAACAGTTAATTCATGACTGTCAGGTTTTATTCAGTCGAGGATCAAGCAAATTCACTCGACGTGCGTTACTTATGTATAAAGAACTAATTCGAAAAGTCTGTCGATGATGAACCACGAGATATATTGAAAGGTGTGTTTGTGAAAATGATGGAACATTATTATTGATAAACTGAATATGATAAACTGATATTTTTCTCTGGCAAATTCCAATCGCGAAATTGAATACTAATTTTCAAATATTATAAAATAACAATATGTGAACATGATAGGAATATTTTTATTTTTCATGGTACTGTATGATCAATTATTATTTAATAGTTGTTTTTCACTCTTTATGTCGTGGAAATAGTTGTTATTTTTTTTATTTATGTGTTAGAAGCGGTAGAATATAGCAGCATCTGTTTTAATAAGAAAAAGATTTACTCATAATCTGTTGCTTTTCTCAAAGCACATAACATAAACTAAATTCACTAGGAAAATATAATTTTGTGAATGAGATAATTTTCTAATGATGATTATTCTATGCTTCAAGGGTATGGGTATGGGAAAAGAGAACCCCACCATCCCTACTTATACTCACACTCTAAAGTACTTTTGATAATAATTTTTGATTGAAAAAACATCTATTTTCAATTTTTCTTTAAACCTGAGTTTTTCAAAAACAACCTCACCAATAAAGAATTAAAGATGCATTATTGATATGTACATCAGTTGTAATGAGATATAATATATGTCTTAAAATTGTTAAGCTTGTTCTCCAAGAAAGTCATCATTCAATCGCACGATATTAATACTTTTGTTGTAGTTAGACGGCGCAATAACCTTAAAATGTGCTGATAAAGAAGGAAACTTCTTTTAATGTGAATCATGGTAAAATTATAATCTCAAGCGTTATAGATTTTTTCATAAAAGGAAAGAAAACTTTTCAAAATTTCAGCCACTGCCGTGCCATGCCGCAGCGGCTTAAAGAACGATACGACTACCGTGCCGCGCCACGATAGAAAAGAAAAATAAGCTGCCACTGACATATACATTTCTGATATACGATCGTGCTTACAAGATATTTCACTAGAATAATAATAAAATAATAATGAAAATCGTGTAGTTAAAATAGCGGCGGTAGTAAAAAGGTGTTGTCAAAAATCCGGAAAAAACATTCAGAAAAATAAATCCACAAAAAGAAAAATCCGGAAAAGCAAACACCTGAAGAGAGAAAAAAATTTATTCGTAGTTGATTAATCATCGTAAACACAACAAGCAAAAAGGATGAAGATGTGAGAGACAATTCGACAGGAAGTTTACTTCTTTGAAGCTACCCAAGTCATCAAAATCGCCTAGGTTTGGGCGATGAATCGCGATTTCAAAAAAACCGCTAGTTAATCGCGATAAATCGACGATTTTTTCCTTCGGCTGAAGGGAGTGTATTCCGAAAAAAATGTTCCGAAAAAAATGGGAATGCGTCTGTATGTCTGTCGTACGTCGCAGGTCAGAGCTCAAACCCATCCAATCCACCAAAATCGAGCAATTAGGTATCGAGTTCACCAAAAATGACCGATCAGAAATCGAAGTTCACAAAATTGACCAACCAGATATCGACAGTCATAAAATCTTCAAGGTATAGACGTGGGGATAGTATGAGGTGGGTCTGAGTGTGAATGTGAGTGGGGTGTGGATGCGAATAAAGGATATGAAGAGACACTCATACCCACTCCCACCCTCAAGATGGCTTTTATCTGCCGCAAGGGGATATACTTTAGGGAGAACTATATTTAACGGACGAATCGATTCGATGACTGGAACAATATCATCATTAGTACTTTTTATTATATATGGCTGTAAGATCTGACATCGATTATCCCTCGTAAAATTTATATTGCCTTCACACTGAAATTCTCCATTTTTGGCGCAGTTTATAGGTGTCTGTGTGGACAATGCCATTATATTGGATCCTATATTATCAAAATGTGGAGAACTATAAACAGAATCCTGAACCTGACAATGAAACGAATGTTCGATTGAAATTAGCTGTTCTAAGCATATATGATTTATACGTTTCTGAACAATGGGCGGTTCTCGACAAACTGTGTAGTTCCCAAAATCACATACTGTTCTTTCTATAATCTCTCGCCATTTAATATATCTACTGTTAGATAAGCCTATTACTTTTCGTAAGACATAAAGACGATGTTACCTAAATGCTCTGGATAATACCCTGTAGTATCATTAGTAATTCATTTTCCGATGTAATAAAATGTACAGCCTGCACAAATAGCATTCGCGATATGAATGTGACTTTCGACTCTCTCACATTGGGTACAGAATGTTTAAGATGCTCATAAATAATTTCTATAATTTCATTTTGTTTTACCATTGTTCTCGATACGGCGCATGAAGCTCTTCATTTTCTCGGAGCTATGATTTCTGTATTAGTTTGCATGATAGCCATATTTTCTTAAGCTCTACTAAATGAGCATGCTAATTAAATTGTACTGTTTGTTCGTGGCAGAAACTGATCATTGAATTTTGGACACTCGATTATTTAATTGCGCTCTTTTCGTTGTAATATAAACAGTTACATCTCCTGCAAAAAGAAGAGTTAGCACACCGTCAGTAGTAACGATGATTAGTCGTATGTAACGTTTACTACGAGGATAGTCATGGTGAGTTTTTACAGGTGCGTTTTCTGCGAAAAATCAGCGATAGAAGATTGGCTAGTGATAAATTTTGAACAGACATATTGAGTAACTGGTATTGTTACTGTTAAACCAAAAATATCATTTGCTTCATAATAATATCCGCTTCGACTGAAAACGACTGTTCTGTCTTCATGAATAACCAAATTTTCACTGTTAATTAACTTATTATGTATACTGTCTTTCCGTTGAACAGCTGGCGCATTGTCAATTGGTGAAGTATTAACGTTTGTGAACAGATCTAAGATAATGATGGTCAGATTTAATAGCATGGCTGATGTTGTCCCTATTTTTTCGCATATAATATAAAATTTCTATTGATAAAAGTTCAAATATCTACTTACTACCTAAACGATAGATTTTGTGACGAAATATTTCGACGAAATAATCGATAAAATGAACTGACAGTGCAACGTTTATATATAATTTTTCGATGAGACAGAAATATGTGTAATAAATTTATTAAGTGTATCAAATGGCACTGAATGTTGTGAAAAAGCTAAGCAGAAGAAATTACCACCACATGGAGCTGTTATTGTAAAGGGTAATAAATTTATGTGTCATACTTTTTAAACAGATAGATTATCTTCTTCTGCTGTTTCTTTACAAATACTAATAATTAAGAATCAAAGAATGAAAGCATCACTAAATGATACGACAATAGAAACGATCGACACGTATACATAAACAAAATGTTTTACAATGGAACAGAGACATATCAATTAAATAAATTTGGTTCTCCCTCGCTGTATGCCAGCTGATGTCTTTATGTTAAATATGAACATCTTGAAACTAATTAGATTAATCGTTCACAATTTTTTTATCAATTACGTCAAAAATATAAATAACGTCGTCTTCAACATTGTTTATTTTCTACACATCATCCTACAAAATATTTAAAAACAGCAAAGAAAAATAAACTAATTACCCCTATTGTTGGATCATTCATAGCTCGTAATTTATCAGTTACAAATATCGAATGTAATTCGGATGAAATACGTTTTCGTTTCAAATCAGAAAGTCATTGTACTGATGTGTTACTATGGTTAAAATCAAACGAAGGTTGGATTTTTGTAATTGGTACAAACGGTATTCATCGAGTAGGAGCTAATGAAACAGTTTAACGAATTTGGCATATTGCTAACTCGGTTCATTGTTTATACCCCAGAGTACATATAATATGGCAACTACTTCAAAAAAGAACAAAAACAACTTGGTTATTACCCAAAGGTCAACCTCTGTTAAATGAAATTCATCATTGTAATATACAATTAGCCCAATTAGCAACAAAAATGAATTTCAATATAATTCGGTCAGATATTCCCATTGACTAAATGTATGATGGAGTTCATCCAACTACCGCGAGGGTCGTCATGATGGAAACAACAATTCGTCATTTTCTAAAACAAAACATAAAATAATCTATTCTTCTTTTGTTTCATGTATTCCATCTTTGATGTCCATTGATCTTTAAATATTAAACAGTTCAAATTATTGAAATAAAATCTCTTTCAAAGTTTTTTTCTTTCAACTTTTATTTTTTTATTAATTAGCAAGTCAATACATGTAAATATATCTATCTATCGTCACAAATACTCGAAAAGCCGTTAACACTGATAACTATAGTTCATTCGTCAATATCTTTGAATATGATGCAGCCGTAAAAAGTGAATGGGTGTGGGTATGAGTCTGAATGGTACTTATATTTATTACTCGCATCTGCATCCACACTCACACCCTCAAGAGCCAACTTCACCTACGTTTCTGTAATTCAATTGAGAAAATATTTTACTTTCACTTTTATTTAAATCAATCAAAAACAAACATTGAAGAACATTTTTTACAAATATTTTACACAATTATCGTGTATAACAGATAAGAAGAATTGAACATGCGACGCCATCAAGCTAATTACAATTTTTGCTTTTTTGATCACCTTGCTATTTATTCTAAAATTAAAAACAAAATAAAAACATGTGTCTAATTAATTAACGGAATACCTGCAATACATCTTATCGATGTCAAAAAATAAATACGCGTTTTCTTTCACCGCTTCGACTTCTACTACTAAATGGCGACATTCCGAAAAGACGTCCGAACTTAGAAGAAGACTTTTACATCACTATATATATCATACTTGAGTCTTTCGAAAACATTTACACCATATTAAATATCTAACAAGGAAAAAAATCAAATCAATATATTTAATTATTCTCATAATAAGAAACTAATATATTACCTTCGATGTTTCATTTTTCATCATTTAAATTGACTCGTTTCAGGCATGCCACTTTTAATAAGTTTCGAGATTCTTCATATCGAACCGATGCATTATTTTTTGGGTGTCTCTTCTCTTAACTGACAGCCATCCACATCCTATTCTACATAATTTTCACCAAAGATTGTATCTTCTATATCAGTGGTATTTTTATTTGATTCATCTTCAGTTTTTTGAATTTTTCTCATCAATAAAGGCCATTACAAAATGTTAAGTGTAGTCGGTGTGCAATACACTAAAATCGATCAACATTTCGAAGGCAATCAAATGCACCAAGCATATTATTAGCATCATTAGCTGTTACAGATGTTATCTTGTTTTGAATTCCTAATTCTTGAAGACATTTAAGAATTTTTGTAGCTATATTTGATGCTAAATGACGTTTATTATATGTCTCAAAATGTAATACTGTTGATTTTGAAGTAAAATTATCATCCATATAATGACCGGTAATACAAAAGAAGGAGTTTTGATGGCGATCAGACCACACGTCCGTTGTTAGTGAAACAGATTTCACATCTTGTGATGTATCAAGGAAACGTGATTTTTGAATAGAATGAAATTGTTTTATCTGACGTTGTGCTGTATTTCGATGAGACGGAACGTAGCCCAAATAAATGTACTTTACATTTATGATATATTTCGAATTTTACGTATTGACAATTGCTGGAAAAATTGAATATTAAATACAAGAATAGCTATAAATGCCTCAGCTTTCTGCCAAATACTTTCCATTAAATAATGCGTAAAGAAATATTAACAGAATTTGAGATATAACTCTATTCTAAAGTTCCATCGAACACATGAAGGCTTAATAGTTTACTTTACTTTAGATTGTTTTATTAAATACATTTAAAAATATTGCATATAAAAATTTAATTCGTCATATTGATTTCTTTCTTTTTTTAACATATAAGTTTCTTGATCCGAAAAGGATTACCAATTTACATTTTGTAAAACACGATCTAAAAGGTGTATAGAAGTGTTTAGGAACAAAAATTTGTACCCTCCCCCCTCTAACACAGACGTGACCGACAGATGTTCTTTTGACCTCGTCATAGACAAGAAGATTGAATTGCAGAACAAAATAAAACTGTTGAACTCATATTGTTTAGGAAAGATAGATACGTGAGTATTTTCTTTTATATTAATCGATTTCTCTTTTGAATTTTGTAACAACTAGTGAGTTCATCCTATATTAAGTACCTGTTTCTGATATTCTATACGTTTACGCTAAAGGATGAAGTAAAAGCTGCTTCATAATAATACAATCAAACTTTTTTCTGGAGGGTAGAAACAACAGTTAGATCATGTTTCATATTTTAATCTTGCGAGGGATTCCGCTAACAGATTTTTCTTAGTTAAAATTATTAATGAAATGACTCCTGCAAACAACATATTATTTTCTTTTTATTTATTGAATTATTTATTAGAAAAATAGACCGATAAAAAGAATAAGAAAAGAAAGAAAGCGATTTAGTGATAATTTCTAATAGGTTGTTTTCTGTTTTTCATACTGATATTTTTTTTACTATTTTCGATTAAATAGTCAACTATCGTTTATGTTCATTTTATTATATAATAAAGGCATTTAATAATATTAATACCACTCGTCCTTCTTAAGGGTAGGTGTGGATATTCTCTTTATGCCATATTCCACCCTCACACACACTTTCGACATGCATACGAAACCACTGTAATAATCACACCCACACCCTGAATCATGTAAAAATGCGTCGAAAAAATAATAATGCTCTTACTTTTAATATTCAGAAAATAATCAAAAGAGGTATGTCTGGTTAGACACAAAATAAGGACAAAATCTACCGTCTTTAATTGCTGTAAGTTTCAAATAAAAACGTTCCCCATTGTTTATGATAATTTATTCTTTTACTTTTAATTCTCATCCGATAAATCTTATGAAGTTTTCATTTTTATTGATGTTTCATCTGATCGAGTACGACGACGATAATAAGAACAGCAACAACAACAACAACAACAACAACGTAAAATGAATTGTAGTATGGCAAGAGAAGATAATAACCAAATAGTATAAACATCAAAATTATAATAAACATACCAAGGATAAGAATTTTCAATTGGTATAAATGCTTGAAATCCATAATCAGCTACCATTTCAATTAAATCAACTGCACGTTCAACACCACCCTGTAATCGTATAATCCTCTGTATTCGTTTAATATTTTCTTGTCTAAATAAAATTTCGTCTTCTTTAAACATGATTTCAACTGTTTCTCTGAGCTCTTCTGGTGTAAAAGTTAATTTATCTAGCGATCGACCTACATTAGCATCGATGAGACGTTGTGCCATATCATGTTGATCACCAAGAAAAGGTATACAAAGAATAGATGTTCCCAACCAAATACTTTCATAAGCACTATTAATACCACAGTGAGAAAGAAATAATTGAACATTTGGATGAGCCAGATAACCCAAAGTAGATGAAATCCACGGAACAATACGAATTCTTGATGGTAGTTCTGTAGGAAAATCATAAATTTGATTTAATTTCCATATAACACGATATTTATCAAATGATTTTATTGTAAGATATATCTTTTCGATTTGCTCAGTTGTTAATAAAACTACCGTGCCAAAATTAATATAAATTATTGGACGAGAATCCATTTCAAGCCATTGTCGATCTTCATCTAATAGTTGTTTTAAATAATAATCCGAAGTACGTTTCACTGAAAACATTGGTCCAGTACATTGGACATATGGTGGTAAATGTTGAGCATATTCAATTCCAAAAACACTATTAACTAAAATCATATGGGAATAATAACGTGATACAAAATTAACTGAATTATTCAAATGAAATTTATTTTGTCTGATATAATCTAAAGGTCGATCAAATTGAACATATGTATATATCGTTAAGAGACAACGAGTTATAGGTAATATTGTGCGTAAAAATAAATTTCTCTCAATGGTATGAATACTTTGAGGAGGATGATGCAATATAGTGGGATTATAATCCGATGGTAAAACATCATACCAAGAAAGATATGGTAAAAGATCAGCATTATTAATTATATAAGGAATATTAAAATAATCAGCAATATCAACTCCAGCAAACGTTATTATATCGATAATAGCTATGATCTTTTCTTGCGCAACAAATATATTTGGATTAATGCTCTTCATTGCTTGTTCATACATTTGAGGATAGATCTTTTTCAAGATTATTTCTACTAATGTTAATTTACTGGAAAAAGAATTTGGATTTATAATAGCATTGTTAGTTACTAATTCAAGTTCAGTTTCATTGGAACATTGACCAATATCAATAAATTTTATTGTTGTATTTAAACAATTTCTTTCCGCATGTTTTTTCATGTTTGAACAACTGATTATATATATATTATATTTATTACCATTACGTTGATATAATTCATTTGCCTGACGTAATAATGGATTGAGATGACCTATAAATGGAATTGAAATAAATAAGGCAGTCTTAGATTTTTCTTCAATAGAAGAACATTTTATCACCAGTGTTGCCAATACAATAATAATAATTATCAGTAATTTAAACATTATTTTGTCAATCAAAAATAGGTAGAGAAAAAAATATTATATAATAACAAAAAATAGAGATTCTAGTCATATACTTCGTTCTTTTATAACAACTAGCTGGACTTATTCTTTTCTTTCTGTTGCCAACAACGATAATAGAGTCTTATCAATATAAACGCACTCCTTCATAGTAATATATACAATTATCATACGCAACACGAATGAAAATAGATATAAAACTTGAGAACAAGAAATATTTTTCATTGTTTATGAATTTATTTCGATGAAGTCTTTTTAAATTCATGGAGAGATAGATTCTGAAGAATATTTATCAATTAATTGAATTGATCGTTGTGAAATAACTCAATATATTATGCACTTTTACAGTTTTTAAAACGATAGATATAACATCTTAAATCTATAGGTAAGTGTGAATACAAATAAAATATGAATAAAACATCCCCTAATATGTTAGAATTTGCAATATAATCAATGAAATAAAAACTACATATTATTTTGTAATATAAATACGCATCTACTTAAATGAGAGATATACAATTATACACTTCTATTTATATTTTTTCTGTAGCTGAAATATAAATATAATTCTCATACCCGTACAGTTTCGCAGTTATAACTATCTGATGAGACTCTGAAGCAAGATCGAAACGTGTCGTAGTTGCTTCGCTCACCGTCATCTTCTACCCTCAATAATAATCAATTAATTAAAAAAACAATTTTTTTTGGTTATTAGACTAAATATGAAATTAAATAAGATGAGTTATTGATAAAATTGCTGCTACAATAGATCCACTTGCAATTCCAAAATATAAAGCTGCAGTCATTAAATAAGCAGCTCTTTCACAATTATTCATTCCAACAATTGAATTAGGTCGAACCATAAAAGTAACTGTTGCAAGAAGACCATTTGTTATTCCCATTATTATTATTAAACAAAGAAGTAATATGTTATCTATAGTATGACGATAAAATATTATTATAATAAATAAACTTCTTAATAATGCACAGAGTAAACAAATTTTTTCTGAAAAATATTGATGAACTTTAATAGCAAGTGTACGACCAATTAAATCTTCAAGATTAAATGTTCCAATAACAAAAGGTGAACACCACCAAAGTTTTCCACTAGAATTAAACCAACCATTTGTTGATGCACTACATGGAATACCTGGCCACAATAATAAAGTTATAAATAAAACATAAAATTGAACAAATAAATGAGTTTTTAAAATTATAATTAATTTCCAAAATGAAAGTTCATTTTCAAGAGAATGTAATTCGACAATATCTCGACGTTTTTCTTGTTGAAATAAAGCCATTTGTTGATTGATTCTTATATTAACTGGAGGAATATGTATTAAACGATAATACACATAAACCGCTATAAAACATAACAATATTAATACACTCATAAATATATAAAATGATAATTGATCATTATCAATATTACTATGAATAAGTACAACAATTAAACGAATAATTGTATTTGCACTAACATTTAAAACTCCGACCATACCACTACCAACTTGAGTAGCTTGAGTAAATGAACCAGTTTGAAATAATTCAGCAATCCCAAAAAGAGAAGATTCAGTAAGTGTGCCAAGTGCGTCAACAGATGCAAAAGCAATAATTAATAAAATTTTATTTTTGAAACTCATAACTAAAACCAGGTATAATACGTTTTGTAAATCTATATTTATACAAATCAAAATATAATTGAATTATATGAAGAAAAAATACTGATGAACTAGAGGAAAGAATTTTATATAATAATTTTGTGCAGATATCAATGATTGATATGCCCATAATACAACTAAATTATATTTCATTATGGTATTTTGATATATCATTACTTGTGTCTTCTACAGCAGGAACAACTTTAACTGTGTTTATATGTAAATTTTCTACTTGCTTGAGCATCGATTTCCATCCAGAAAATAAATTTCTAAGTTCACTTATTCGAAGACAGTTAGGAAAGAGTTATGTTCTTGTAGATAATATGTATATATATATACGAAAGAAAATTCATTCTTATATCTTTTCGAAGGACAAAAGAAAATATAATTATGAATTTTTTTTGATAAGAATGACATGTGTGAGAATAGAATGACAAAAATGACTTGTGGTAACTCAGTGTATGGCCTGCATTATTTTCTATTCCAATTTTATTTTTCATCATACACGATAAAATGATTTCTTCTTTAGTTTTTATACTTTTTGTAAAGAGGGTGTGGGTGTCTACTGTTTCTATTCACACCCAAACCCTGAATCAGTTTATTTTTAATAAACGTTGAATATAGTTTTGATATCAATTTAGATACTATTGTAAATGAGTTTATGTTAGAAAACAAAGAAAGAAAATAAATAAATTATTATGTTGAAGTAGTGTAATGGAAAAACATTTTTTATTATTCACTTAGAAAATGTAATGCTTTTCTTAGACAATTTGAGCCGGTACTACCCATGACTTCTACCTAGAATGTTCTCATATTAGTATGAACGTGCAAGACAATGTTTATTAGTAAAGATAATTATTTTAAAAATACAATATGTTATGCTATCAAATGAGTTTTTCTAATTATGAAAACAACAATATCGCATGTAAATTATATCTCTTTCCTGTTATTACTCTCGCATTACAATTTGCTGACGTAAAACAGAATTAATTTTCTTACCTAAAAATATTTTAAACTTATTAACTGAAACAGGAAATAGCTCTTTGATGAATATTCTGCGACGTATATAACTGTTGGATACTTTTGTTTTATTTCTCACTACAACTTCATAGCACACAAAATGTTATCGACAATATGGTGGTCGGTATTAGGATTAGTTCTGATATCGATTCATACTGTTCAAAATCAGATAATGCAGTCAAGTTTGAATTTACAAGCGCCCGGACTTGATTTTTTACCAGCAAATCCGGTTGAACTAATCACCACTTATACTGGTATGAACTCCTTTCTTTTATGTTATATCCAATGTAACATGAATCCATTATGCCGCACTTTTGTCAGTGACATCGTATTACCTCCTGTCTGTCGCCTATATGAAGGATCGATCCATACAGGAATTATTGTTAAGTGTTCATCATTAACATCTCGTGTTGGTGGTCTTTATTATTATCCATCACTTTATGATGTGTACAATCAAATATGTGATCCGCATGTATTACCATCTAATCGTTACTTAATATGTGTTGACAATGTATGGCAATGTCCAACAACTACATTCTGGAATGGTTCAATGTGTTTAAATCAAATCTATTATGGTGATTCATGTACAATGAATGAAGCATGTCGTCAAGACATTGGTCTTCAATGTTCTTCAGATTGTCAGAAATGTATATGCAATTCGAGAGCTTCTTGGAACAATATATCATGTGGTAGGTAGAGTGAGATGCACTTATTCAAGTCATTTATCTTTATTTTTTTTAGTCATCGGTCAAACAGTTTGTCCAAGTTCGAAACCATCTGATCCATGTGTGGCAGCCTATTGGCCACTAGATGATAATGCCAATGATCTCACTAATACACATAATGGTACATTCGTTGGAAATCTATCATTTACTATGGGATACATAGATCGCGCTATACAGTGTTCTGGTACAGCATATATTAACACATCTTACATTGATTTTTATCGTCGAAATTTTACCATTGAATTTTGGTTCTATATTAATAATCGCACGAGTGCCAATATAGGTTTATTAGGCGAATGTATGCATGGTAATACGGACACGTGTCTTCATTTTGGACTTTGGGGTGGTTCAGCACCATACATGGGATTTTATAATGATGACAGTGCAGGTTCCAGCAGTATTGTAAATTATCAGTGGTATCATATTGCATTCGTCTACGATAATACTGCTAGACAACGTCAAATATATGTCAATGGGTTGCTAGAAAATATCACTTTGCCTAATTCACTCTCTCCTAGTGGTTACCTTGGTCAATCTGGTCAAATAATAATCTGTAAATCAATTCATTGGCCATTAAACTCTATAACTTACATGGATCAAATACTTGTTACACAACGAGCAAAAACTACTAATGAAATCTTGAATGATGCCACTCTTATCGCTTATTATTCATTTGATTGTGGTTCTATTCTTGATTCAGGTCTAAATCTTCTTCAAAGTATTGCAGTTGGACAAACAATGATCAATGGTCGAGTGAAAGATGCTCTCTTATTCAACTCAACAAGTGCTTATTTTCGAACATCATCTTTTATGACTTTTGGTATTGCTAATCAATCATTTTCGATTGCTCTTTGGGTGAAACCGATGAATCTTCGTGGTATTCTTGTGCATATATCCAATCAATCAACTGGTGATGGATGGTGTATGCCATTACTAGGCTTCAATTCATCTGGCATTCTCATTGCACAAAGTTCATCTTTGATAATTGTGGTTTCTACATTTCCATTAAATGTTTAGACGCATATTGTTCAAACATTTAGTATACAAAATGGTCTGCAACTATATATCAATGGTACATTATATCAAACAGTTGTAGGTGCACCAATGACTCCTCCGTATCAATCAATGTATGTCAGTATTGGAAGTCAACAAATGCGAGAATCTAGTTGTATGTGGGGTGCTATCGAGCCTCATTCATATGCTGGTGCGGTTGATGAACTACGTATTTATAATCGACAAATTACTAGAGCAGAAATCGCTATTATATCTTCATAGATTGACATCCAGTTCTCTTTAATTTGTCAATAAAGAACCAACTATATACTTAAAAATAAATATTATTTTCTGCTTTACGTTAATATTATTTTTTATGCTAATTTATTTTCTCTGACTGATGTTATAATATATTTTAATCTCTCAATAAATAGAAAATAATATTGAAAATCACATATAGAAATGCATAATTAATGGTTCAATCAAAAGAAAATCTTTAGGGTGAGTGTTGCCGTTGGTGACTTCAATACACTCACCTACATCCCCAATGGCTAAATTTTGTCCACACGTTGGACAATGAGATTTTTGTCTTATACTAAGACGTTTTTAGACACAATGTTGATGAGATGTGTGATTACAATCTATGATTATCGCCTCTTCTTGAGGGTGTGAGTGTGAACAAAGATACTCACATCCACCCAACTGAATTTTATCGCAAAGTTTCGACTAGATTCAAACTAGGAACTCAACAAGGTGTCGATAGAAGCATGTCTGTTTTGATTAGATAAAATTTTCTTGAACTTTACCAATGATAATGCATGATAGATCTGTGGGACAGGTTCTCATGAAAAGAAAAATTTGGTTGCACAACATATCTTATCACTGAAACAAAGAATACATACACAAGTCATGCTTTTCTCGATGAAATTACGTCCAAGACAGCAAGCATCTTTAAAGACGCGGCTTTAAATATGGTATTACTGTGATGTGGGCAGAGACTGTAGTTATCTGGTATAAAATTTATTTTGAATCAGAAAAAAAGGACTACTGACTGATGGGATTCTAGTCAATCATGTGTTAGTGTCAAAATGAATAGTTGTAAGGAGTTTGTTTGAATTGAAAATAATGCTGCCAACGTGAGAGGTGATGGGAGCGTGTGAATTATTTCGATTTTCGATCAGCTGTTTGATGAATGTCAGTGGATTGACGAGGAAGGAAGCTTGAACCATTTGTAGCTGAGCACGATGATCTGCGTCCACGAACCCATCCACGGTGATCCACCCTTTTTCGAAAGCTTCTTCTTCAACCTGTGTTCGAGGTTTAGGGCATAGACTCAAACACTGACAATAAGCCGTTTGCTCTTTGACTGTTTCAAAGTAGAGAGTGCCATTGAACAAGAACAGTTGAATCAAGCATTCCATTGGAATTAAGTGAGCGTTGGTGATGGAAGAGGATGCAATCGTTGGCGGAATGGTTAGCGTGGGGGTGTTGATAAAAATGGATTGCACTCTTTTCAAATGAGGCAACAGTAAACGTAATGTCGTCAGTTGCGAAGTGTTCAGACGCAGATGACCCATCAGCCAATTAGCTTCGAGAGCATTTACGAATATGAGCTGTTGATTTCGATAAACAACGATCCATCTCGGCGGACGCATAAAAGGATTCAATACTTCTCCTTTCGCTTGAACCACACGTTGAAACTCGGTTGAAATCCAAAGATTCTTTAGCCAGCTGTTTGGTTGACACTCCCTGGCAAATGTAGTACCCGCAAAGGCGTAAGGCAAATAACGAAAGACGTTCGCCAGTGCATCTAAATGTAACGTAGTACGGCGGTTGTCAGCTAATTGCTTAATTTCTTCGTGTAAGATCGGCTCACACGGTTTCACCGGTGGCGGGCGTTCTACTTGTCGTTCTTCTTCCAGTTCTTGTTCTAGCTCTCGCTGTTGCTCTTCATCTAGCAACTGAGACAAGCGTTGCTTTGTGCCGCCATAGTCGAGCAATCGTTTTAAAACCTCTTTCTTCAATTCAGTCGAGAGATGGAGCTTGATATGTCGATAACGATCGAAGTGAATTTCCAGCACTGTTTGAAGCACTTTCCGAGAACCATACATGCTAACTAATTGAATAATCTCAGCTTCGAGACATTCTTTCGCTACTTCTTCCATCAATGTGTCGGTGAACGTTTGTTCCTGGTCACTCCAGTTGACTTTCCGAAAGGCCACGGTCTTTCGTTGGAAACTCGCACTTTGCGCTGCCCAATGATGCAATCCGTCCCAAGTAGACTGAATCGTATTCTCGTATACCCAACGGAGAATATCAACTAGCATAATCGGCTCGTGAGCGGTGATTTTTGATTGAACCATCTGTTGGTGAACTTCATGCGAGCTCCAGAAGGTGAGTGAGTGCCCCTTCTCTAACTTTCTCATTCGCATGCAGGCTTGCACAAAGCGGTCCTTGGTTAGCCCCGTGCCCAAGGTCACTGCTGCTCGGAACCCGATCGGAAACTTAAAATCAGTTCCTCTCGTATGAATCTCATCCAGATAGAACACGCAACGGTCTAAGCGCTCGTTGGCAGGAGATGTTTCAAAGGGGTGCTCATGCAACTGCCGACTACAGGCGATGATCGAATCAGTCTGGAAATAAACCGCATAGTCAATCTGATTCCTGTCAGAAAGATTCAGCCATTTCAGCGCAATCTCTCGGTTGCTTCCGTCGATAAACAATGCTCCAACATCTAAGATGACATTGATGGTATCCTTAGACTCGACGATTCGAGTGATAATCTCCTGTGAATTGATGTTGATGGGGAAGGATTGGTACTTTTCGTTTTCTGGCTGTAGTAGATTGTTGACGACGATGGCATCGGTTTTTTGCAGTTCAGGTAGGTCGTACTGACGAATCTGAGTAGGAAGTAATAGCTGCGTGTCATTTGTGCCACTGAATCCCGTGATAATTTTCGATCGAATAGACGAAGACAAATCCCAGGCTGATGCCACTAATTTCTGAGGGAATTGTTTCGCTTCGCGTGGAAAGACGAAATGATTGAGAAAATAGTTGACAACTAGCGTATTGTAGCGAAAAATTGGATAGAGTAACTGTGTTGTTTGTTGGCAATCCCTCAAATTAACTCCTTTCCATTGTCTGATACCGACATGGATGTTTTTATCATCTTCTTCAGAGACAATCCATTGATCGTAGATGGCCGCCGGATCATTTTCCTCTTCGTTTACTCGTTTGAAACATTTTTCTAACTGGTCGTCAGTCAATCCCGAGTAATAGTATGTCAAGTGCGTTAAGACAAGAGCGACATCTGGATGGCCGAATTCAGTTCGATCGGCTACAACATCCTTCGCACGAAACGGTACGGCCATTAACCGATTGAACACACAGTTTGGATTAATCCCGTAATTCACTCGATAGCGCTTTTTCAAAGCAACCAACAAGACTTCGGACGAGAGCAAACCACGAGCAATAAGAAACAATTGAATGCTATGCAGAGGAAATCGATTCTTAAGGGCATCCACCGACTGTTCGGTTTCTAACAGAAATGAGAGAATGACGTCTTTATCAACGTGTCGATAGTTTCCATTATCAACCCACTCGCTGCCTACATCGTGACACAAGATTGGATATGGCTGGCATGATTGCAACCGAAACTGCGGGAAACCACTGCGGCGCTTCGCAGGTTGGTAACAAATTGCCTTGGGAAACTCATCGGAGAGCTTTGGCGCGTGCTTTTTAACTAAATGAAGAATCGATTGAATCGTTTTCCATCGTTCACTACCTCCGTCCACTTGTTGTTGCCCGCCCACCGTGTAGATTAACTGATACTTGACGTGTAAGATCTCATCCGACTCGTCAAGAATATCCCGAACGTACGATTTGATCCAGCGATGAAGAATTAGCATTGAACGGCCGGTTTTGTACTCGCCGCGTCGGCAGTTATCAATGGTCAGCAAATCAAAAGAAAGAATATCTTCCGGGGAAGTGATGATCACATCGCAGTTCCTCAATCCTCGTCGTAGATAACCCTGAATTTCTTCGATTTGTTTGTCGTTGAAGTTCAGGTCACGCCGGCAGGCAAATGGAAATATACGTCGATTGAGCAGACCACCTAGTTTATACCGTAATGAGTGATAGTTCGTTGGAAATAGTGATTTAAGTACAATGATGCGAACTAAACTGGAAGACGATGACGACAAACTCACGGCTAACATTGGCAGAATGACCGATGTTTTGCCTTCGCCCATATTCATTTGCATGACGATACTGCGTACCGATGCATCATTAGCATTTAGATGGGGCTCCATCATATGTCGCGCGACTTTGATCTGGATCTCTCGAATAGTTATGTTCATTTCCAGCTCTAAAATTAGCCAAGGAACGTGCTTGGATGGGATCCAGTTCGAGTGTGGCATATTCGAAATCTCCTTTCTGAAGTCTTCGGATTTGCCGTTCATATCAAAGTGTAAAGCTCGTTCTGCGTATTGTTGCAAAGACCAATTGACAAGAATGCCACCCAAGAACGTTTTTTGATCGACCGATAAATTCAGAGCGGCTGTGTCTTGTTGTAAACGAGCAATAAGGACCGTGGGAGTCATTCGGAAGAGCAAGCCTGTTTTGAATAATTGTTCATTGGATGCTGTAATAGATTCCTCTAATGTCTTCCAGTCTTCCGTGGATTCCTCACGCAAGCCGCGAAGAAACTGCATCACGTTGTCGATCGGAGGTTTCCGGAAAGGAATTTGTTCGTCCAAGAGTAATTTGGCCCAACTTTCATCTAGCTGCTGTTTGAAGTAGCTGGTAATTTCGTAAAGGGAGTTTTTTGGATCGGCTAGAGAAGGAAAAATTGCTGGTGGAGAGGACTTGCGTTCAGTGCTATTCGGAATGATGGCTGCTATTGTTTCATGGAAATGATTCACAGAAGTCTGTTCAAATTTTTGTCGTGCGTTTGATAACTGTTTTGCATCGATCGCTTTGCCTGGCGGGCGAAGTCTTATTTGATGGTGATCTTTACAGAGTTC